CACAGAATACACCTAAAGCTCAGCATAAGGTGATATTATGCGATAGATAAAAAATTAAAAGTAAAGCGTGAGTGCGACGGAAGCGTGGCGCGGAAGACCGCGGCGAACTCAATAGAACAAGCTCTGCGAACATAAGCGGCGTCGCGCGCCCTGAGCCGAGACCAAGCGGCAAGAAGCAGAAGCCATGAGCGCGATGCGAGAGCGAGACGCGAGAGCGTGCAGCCTATGGATGGCGTTACCGCGCCCGCGACGCCTGCCGCCTTCAGAGTGCCGCACTGCAGGTGCCAGGGGAGGGTTTAAATAGCGCATGCGTTCGCGTACCCTCAAGGGCGGCCCTTGACGCGCTCCTCATGCCACCCCGCTGACACAGCCGTCGGTCCAAGAGCTGAGACGACACTACCGTCCCGCCCGCGTCGCGCGGCAGTGCTCCCGAAGCGACACTCGTACTCGGTCCCCGCTTGCACCCCCGCGCGCCGCCAGGGAACTCCCCGGCACACGGTGGTCCACCACCACACAACCAAGCCATTTCGCCGCCACATGCCGCCCGGCCGCTCGCGCCCCCCCCGATACACATTTGCTACCACTTACAGTAGTAACTACACGCGACCGCCAATACTTTCAATATTGCCCATGTGCTTTTTAATTAATATCTTCGATTCGCCCCCCCCCGACAACAAAATAGAAACAACTAACTCGATGCTTTGTCTGATATAGCATAAACTTGATATTCAGAACTACGACATCTGTTGTGATTCTACAGTAAAATGATTAAGCTAATTATGTGGTTATCTTCACCCGAAGCACTGCCTTTATGAATAAGATTTTTAGAAACTGTAAACGACTATATCATTCGCATCCGTTAATTTTAAGTTATATATGAATACGACAATCAGCGGAAAATATTACAATGTATCAACTAAGACCATCAAGATATAGGGAGATATATTATAATGATAATAGATTAACGCAAGGAGGCGCAGCATTTTGGGTATGAAATATGACGATACTACATATATTACGTATAAAAAGTAGCGAACTTTTCTGTAGGTTTTGTCTTTATAAAGCGTGGGGGAAATATGGCATACTATGGAGACAAACCCTTATAGGACCATTCAACACGGAAATGATTGATTTTTTTTTTTTTTTTGTTAATCTTTTTTTTTTTTCTTATTTTTTTTTTCTACGCGAGTCGATGCCTCGCCAAGCGCACGCGCATTCGTGTTTGAGCCAGGCGCGCCGACCGCACAGTCCACACAGAGGACAGGTTTAGGGTCTGGCATGCGCCTTTACTTGGCTTAGGGGAGACCTACACATTTTCATACAGTATGCATAAAAACTACTTCCACCATAATTACTTTACAAATATTTATGTCCGATTCTCTGAAGATGTGGACAACATCATGAAGCCACTACTTCGGAGTTGGGGATCGTACATGAATCAAATGGGTAGCGGAATGTTCATACCTCAAGAACGGTCATTACGCGCAGTTTCTGATGCTAGTACTGGCTGCTGCAGAACTCCTAGTGGCCGAGGCGGCGGTCCGCGGAAGGGTCGTGACCACCACACAGCCCGGACCCGCTTGGCGGCCATAGTACTGGGAGCATACGTCGAGGCCCACGTTCCGGCACACCCGATAAGTATGGTGATTGTCTGCCATGGTTTTTTAAAACACGTTGTCTCAGATTAATACAGATACTTACCATTAAGCAAATGTTGTTATAAAAACATTTTTTACTGAAATGTAATCTTAAAAATTAGAAGAACATGATAAGCGAATATAGACTATAAATAATATTTGGACCTTGTTTTAACATATTTGTTACAATATTGACGTTATCAATTTTAAGCAGTAAGTAGCATGCATTTTTAAGAACAATATTTCAGATATTAAATTTGAATAAGCGTACTTTCTTAAAGCTATTTTCACTGGCCATATAAAGAAATAAGTATTTAAATTTGTAAACCTCTTCAGTATAGGTATTTTGCAGATAGTCTAGATTAAGTCCAAAGCAGCCTATGTGCTACAGGTTAGTTTAATTAGAACAAGAGTGCGGGAGACGAGAATCGGGAAGCTTGGAGGAATAGGCGAGTAGTGAGGCAAGAGGTGCAGGAGTGAGCGAGGTCTGCGGATGTGGCGGGCGGGGGGAGGGGTGGCATGGCTCCGGCGACGTTACCTGCGGGGCGAGCAGGGCGAGACTGATCGGGTCCAGGGCCGCGATGTGGCTGGCGGCGCCGCACCCCGCGCCGCTCACGCGCCGCCCACCTCAACACAAAACCACACAACACGCTACTCATCGTGCGAGGGGGACAGCCCGCGTCCGCGCCCCGACCCTCAATGTCGCTCCGCGCACTATTCGACCAACTTCTCTACTAAGCGCAGCCGTTGCTTATGAAACCAACTAGAAGCTCCTCAAGGAGTACAGAGAGGCGGCGGTGCGAGGAGGGACCCCGAGGAGATCGGGCCGCAACGTTAGCAATAGTGAGAATAGTGAGGGAGTAATATATCTCAGTGATTAAGTTGCACTAAACCGCTTAACCCAGTTCATACAAGTGTGAGTAAAATTGGAGAAAGACATGCCTCTTAAAGAACCAATTAAATTGTACTATACAGACATGCTCAAGCAATTTAAAGCGATCGGCCTTCAGTAGAACGTATTTAATTTGCACTTGCAGAGTTTTTTAACAACACGAAATAATAATTAAAAGTATATCTAGTAATAGATAAATTTAGAAGAAATACACAGTCGTTACCTGAAACCGTTCACCGTACTTAAAAACAAGGGGCATCGTTTATATAGAATTTTCAGTTTTATATAGAATTTTTATTTTAAATAGACACATTGATATTTTTTGTACATGCTTCTTTATGTTGTTAAATTTATTATTTATTAACCCTATATTTATAGAAGGCTCCAATATCTACATTTAGCAAAATTACATAGAAAGCAGCAAATCGCGTGCAATAAATGTCTACCCGGTGAGGGCCGATCGCTGTAAGCGTTATTTCAGTTATAGCTTATATTGAAGATGGACTTACAACGGCTGGGACCTGGCCAGGGAGCACCTGGCCCGGCGTAAGGCCCATCTGCTGCATCAGGGCGTTCTTTAGTGCTAGATGATTCCGACCGTTAATCAACAGCTGATCCTTAAGATGCTGCGGGGGGTGGAAGTACTTGCAGGGTGGCTTCTCTCGGTTAACACCGTCCCTGAAAATATAAACAAGGAAAGATATTAATTATTGTTAATTAGAAAGTAAAAAAAGATTTTGATGAATTAAAATTGGTAATAGCATGTAGTAATGTACGTCATTCGAGTAGAAGCTTGTGCCGCAATGAATATTTCGCTTATTTTCGGCATCAATGAGGCGAAAGATAATTGCTTTCAGAATCGAAACCTCCCCACCGCAGCCGTCTATGATGATTTATTTACACCCGCGTAATTAACTGTCGCACTACGTGACAGGAAGAGCTTCGGCGACGTTTTATCTGTAACGTCAAGCCCCATGCCTTATTTTTTATTCAGGGAAAGGAAACGAAAACGAGCTTATCGCTGTTTTCAAGAAAATACTTAAACAAAACAAACTTCAACTAGATATAAAAAATTCAGTTACGAAGTTACTGACTGATAACGTCAAGGGTGCGATATAATCTTCCATAACTTGTTGTAAACTTTAAGAATTAAAGGATTTTTTAAATTAATATGTTAATGTTGACATACATTTTTCGAAACAATAATCTATTATTTTTTAACTCTTAAAATAATGTTTTGACAATTCTGATGACGAAATATAAAAAAAAATAATTAGTTTATGTAAACCCAACCATATTTTAATGGTTCGGCAATAACACTTGTGACCGTAAAGTACCAACAAATAGACTATAGAGGGATAAACCCAAATTTTCCGTTATTAAACTTCGTTGATGCGTGCTAAAACTGACTTGTAGAAGCAGTCGGCTGCATTTAGATTAAACTTGTTACTGGCAGACATAATGTTAGTTAGACTGTCCTCTCGCAGTTAACTCTGGATAAAGTTATTATTTCCTGTTACGCTGCACCGTCTACTTAACTGAGTTTCGATTCCTAGCAAGCCGTTTGTGAAACTTGAATGGGTGATCATGTTTCCATCTTAACTATTATAACTCCGTTTAGAGCGCACTATTAACTATATTGATTTCTATTTGATTTTAAATAGCTGAACAAATTATAATGATTGTACTATTATTTGAACATTTGGATATATTTATTTAGGATAAGCGGAAGGAAAACATTGAAATAATAATTTTTTGTTGTTTAGGAAAAGATTAAAACGGAAAACGAAGCTCGACGGTTCTGACAGGAAAGGATTAACTGCAAACCTTATCGTATTACAACGAAAAATACGCAAGAGGGGAAGAGATGAGGGGTAGTCCCGATGACATACATCAATTGATTATAAATCTTGTATGAAATATTGTATGATACACGTATGTAGTTTTTAGGAGGTTGCGGGCGCATGCAGGTGGACACAATCGATTAGTGTGACAGACGGCCGCGTGAACAAATGGCGAGTCGACTCAAAGAACTATGGCGGCCCGTAACATAACCCCACAAATCCCACTGTACACACAATGCATTAATTGCTATCCCACTATCTTTCTGCTATTCCACACACCATCGATTATTTTTAAACCATATACAGGAAGTACAGAACACGTTTTTTATTACAAAGGATGCACTAACTATGTAATGTTTTATCCCAATGAAAACATAGTGGTTGTTTGTTTGTATAGACAATAAATTAATTAATTTTGGAATAACAAAGGAGCTTATGACTATTTTTTTATTATCTTTCAAATTTTCATAAGTTTTTATTCGCGAGAGATTAATTTACATTTTTTATATTACAATCTTATTTAGAACCTATAATTTTTAAACGGAGTAAGGAGCGTCCTTATGTTTATTTAATTATCTATGGTAAAATGACATTCAATGTAACATGAGGCTAAGGCGTTCTTGTCTAACAGAGTCGAGTGAAGCGTCTGAGTGCTCTTTAAAGCTGTTAGTCGTGTAAACGAACGGCCTCTCGATCCAGCCATAGGGCAATGCAGTTTGCTGCAGTCGGCACGACGCGCCATCGCAACCTTCGTTACTGTGACTGCTTACTGACCGACCACTCCGAATGGCTTAGTCAAGGTATGAATGACCCCTGCCTGTGATGCTTACATTTAGTACAAATAATCATTGTTAAACTATCGCTCAAAAATCTATTCCAATGATCGCCGACCCATTAGTAAAAGTTTTAAATATAGAAATTTGAAAGGAATTTCTTTTTTGACTCTATACGATTATATAAATGTTAGAGGGCACTGAAATGGATATACTAAAAACGGAATTACAAAGAAGTTATTCCTTGTTATTTTTGTATGAATGCAAGGCGTGCAAATCAAACAATTACCTAAATGATTGACAGAATTAATTGATTGGCATGTCGTCGCCAAAGGATGCATTGTAGTAAGCGAGCCGGTGTACTCCGCTATTCTACTATTGGCTGACCTGACACGCGCCACTGCAAATCGACACACGAGGAAAACAATGAAGCCGGGCGATTAGATGAATGACAACGCTCCTGGCTACATTATAGCTCACTTGTACGCACCAAAGTGTGTGCCACAAAATGTTCCATGATTTCAAACCAGGGACCGGAAATAGAAACGGCCAGCGAGACGTGCCAACTCTTGTACCTGTGTTTATAGGTGTCCTCTGGATCGCGCGTCTGTGTGTGTTCGCACTCGGTATCCATGGCACGTGGCCCACGTGCCCGTTCAGTCCGGCTTCAACGTTTCGACTATTTGATAGATTTATAGCACATGCTAGTGAGAGAGTGTAGTATAAAGATGTTTTCATGGGTTCTTTAGTTATATATCAGCTGGCCGAAAAGAAATTCGTCTTATTTTGAATTAAATTATTCTTTTGAAACATTTTTGTAGACAAAGTTTAACTTGTTATATTCAAACTGTTAATGCGATCAGAATCGAACATCCCACGTCCGGATGCCACATATATTTTTTCGTTAAAATGAGGGAAGGTGAAAAATCTAATTTGCAAAATTTTGCGGCTGAGAAGGGAATTAGGTGAGCGAAGTCATTCTGAAAAGTAAGTAGAATTTGAATTTAAAATGATTTATAGAGGCTCAGGGGAGTGGCTAATGAGCCGACCACGCGAGAGGGGCGCGTGTTACGCCTCGCGCGCTCGATTTTTTATTTTCGAATCTTTGGTCGGCCCCAAGCACGACTGTTCTGGGAGTGTGCACTGATCAGGACATAAAGTAATTATTTGACACAAGGTACATTCCAGCCCAAGGCAACTGAGTCAAAATCCGAACGATAATATTTCACAACAGCGAGGACATAACAGTAAACAATGGGAGTGGTTTTTCTTACTACTTCAGAAGAAATCTTAAATCAAAATTATTTACACTGGTGAAGTTCCCAGCAAGTTTTCATCGCGGTGCCGTAGCTTAATGTTAAAATATGCATTCGTGCGCAGAGTTATCTCGGCCACTTTTGCTGTTGCCGGCGTCGGGCGGTCAGGAGTTGTTTATCCCGGATTTGATATTGTTGCAACACAATTTAAATGCTATTTAGAGTTCTGATGCTAGAAGCGTCCCATATCATTATAATAATAATGATGATTATGTACATGTTTAGAAAGCCCTAATTCAAAAGTGAAACTATTTTAAAGTATAATTAATCATAATTACAATTTGCTGACATTCGAATGTCGGGTCGTTAATTACGATTCGGTTAAAAATAGCTATTTTGATTGATGAATCTCCAATAGTAATAAGCTAAGGTTAGCAAGTGGTGCGGGGCGCTAGATTATGCAACGGAAGCAGCACGACTTCTCCAGGTGTTTTCATTAAATTGCGCCGCGGCGCCTCGGCCGGCTCGTACGGCCATTATGAAAGGCTGTAAGCTCGAGGGCTATTCGCTTTAAAGAACGCCCGCGCTACTTTGTAACTGCTTTAATTGATATCTTGTTTACTTATAGGTTTGCGAAATGGCCTGCTTTGACTAATGAATGGTCCAAGTTAAGTCACATATTGTTCCTAAGTTTTTGACGTACAATATTTGCATCGCTTACTTATAATGTCAATGTTTGAGCGAAATCAAAATAACAAGAGCGTCGTAGTTGATGTTTTACGTAATGTATTGTGTTATATTAAACGTAGCGTTCGTTCCGCTGTAGAACGTAAAGCCAAAACCGCGACGAACGGGCTGTCCAGCTACGAACCTAAGCTGTTAGCTGAACTGGTGCAGTAATTAAGTTTAAGCAGACGAGTACTGTCCACGTTCGAACACGCTTGACATACTTCGATTCTACTCGCTTACTGGAATCACTTAACTGACACACTCGCTTCATTATTCAAACAGATTGACAAAGATTTTTCGCATTTTGTCTCGGTCGTTTCTAAAACTATAATGGAAGCAACAATAGTATTTGTCTCAACAATGATTTTGAGGTCCGTTTCAAAACGGTACTTACACGAGACAGGTAAATAATGAGCAAAATTTTTAACAATATTTTGAACTAAGAAAGTAGTCACTGAGATAATCTTAGTGAAATTAGTTTCACGGTAATTCCGTTTCAGCAAAATATAAATTAATTCAAGGTAAATGTAAATTTTATTAATATCTTTATGTCTTTCTTGCTTAAGATCTATCACGTCTTGTAGTTGAAGGTAAAACGCGATAATTGCCAGGGCACTAGACTACAGAAATAAAGAGCTCTTAGAAGGTACGATAAGGGAAGTTTAAGGACTTTTTCGGGTGCGGGTCGTACCGATAAATTGGGCGGCACTTATTATGATCTCGGCGGCATCTTGCAAGCGACTAATGTCCCGAGTCGTTTTATGCGCTAACTTGTACTCTTAGCTGGAAGGGGGTGATATCTTTCCATCCGAGTTATATGACCATTCTCCTGAGAACGCTATGAAGTCACGAGATTCTAGTTTTTTCAGTACAGTGAAACCGTCCTTTAATTTTTTTTAATGTTAAATTTCGAAATACAGGGTAAACTCTATATAACGACACTGACGGGACCGTGCATTTTAAGTGCGTTTATAGAGAGTTGCCGGTTAAATAGAGTAAGAAAAATCGGAATTAGAAAAAGACAAAGTTTGTTTCAGACTACTGTTATGTACCTTATGTAGCATAAAAAGAATGTTATAAAGTCTGTTGTTTTTTTGTTTGACGTGTTTTGCTGCACCCCGTGAATGTTGTTGTATTTTTTTACGTAATTTTCATTCATATCTTGCGATAGTTGAGGCATATTGGTGGAAGAACGAATTTCCTAGAAAGTTTGGTATGCATGATTACGACAGTGGAGTTTTATTGCGGGCTAGGATAACAAAGCGAACAAAAACGTACACAGCTGCAGACATTTTTTACTAATTTCAGCAAACTTAAAGGGTACTTATTTATTGACTTAATTTTGGTCCGTTATTGAGAGGTGGCTGTGACGCTATATAGAGTGTATCATAGTATGGGTAGACAAGCTAAAACCAACCAAGGCAATAGATGATTTCGAACGCGTTTAGAGAGTTTGTCGTTAAATCGACGTGTTTTTTATATGGATTTACACTGTAATTAGCATGCAATAGTAGAAGAAATTTTCCTTTAATTTTACTATAACATTTAAAATGTTATTTGGACTTAAAAAAAAACCCCCCCCTCCCCGAAATTAAATAGTATATTTATACATGCTCATGAGATTAATAAGATAAAAACTAATATTTTATCATATAAAAGCTAAACAGATAATAAAAGTTAAAACTTCCTTTACAGGAACATTGAATGTTATTTAGGATAGTGCAAAATGGACGATTCCAGTAGACTTAGTCTACGTAGCACCCGGCGCTCTTCCCCCACGCTACATCGTATTCCACTCACTAAAATCCGGGAACTTAGTAAACATGTTAGCATAAATCAATTTTCTTTAACACATTGAGTTTTTTTAACAGTGATTTAGGATCGAAGACAGTAGGAGCCACTTTAATAGCCTGTTTTTTTTCAAGTGATTAATAGCCGTAGTAATAAATTCAACGATGTGAAGCAAATGAAAAGAAGTGGTGAGTATTATGCCAAACTAGAAAACGGTATTTTGATAAATTTAATGTATACGTTTTATACATGTTGTATGTAGTTAAACGGGACTTAATGTTTTTTCTTCAGTAAAATAAACAATTAAATTAAAAAGTAACATTAAAAATGGGAACTTTGTATATTTAATTTTTATCATGTCTAAATTAAATAACTCCTACAATGATTATTCTCTACTTTTCCTTTTGTCACAAATATTCCCAAGATAAATAAGCAGATTATGCCATCGCTACATCCGTATAATAAGTTTCCATTACAACACTGTGAAGTAAGTATAATCCCAAAGCAGTGTAAATTTATAAAGGCCTAATATAAACGATGTATACGACTTAGTACATTAGTAGGTGTGAGAATGTTATTGCTTCGTGTTAGGTTAATGTCGGGGAGGTCGTATGAGGAGGTCGAGGGGTGCTCCGTAAGGCAGAGCACAGTCGGCGCCGGGTTTCTGTAGGTATATGTTGTCGTAATTACAGAGGCCAAGATGCTGGCGAGACGTAACGCTGTCCTAACGACTTTTATAGCGAATGTACCATTTCCTGAACATAAAATAAATGTGCCGCCTCCGACGCCCCGATACAGCACACTGTTACCAGATTAATAGCATCAAATGTTTGCTGCCACCCCATAAGGTTTGCTATTATACGCAATTTAGTCAAATTCATGACATAAATAATAAGTATTTCCCCAAATATTGCAAAACGTTATGTTTTTTCTGTAGCTTCGTTTATATAATATACCGCAATCCATTTAGGTTATATTTTAGTCGGTATCCGAAATAAATATAGGTTGCTTTTTCGCCGTAACCGAAACTTACTCGAATATATTAAAAGTTTTTTGGTAAGTGAAATCTAGTTTATGTACACACACCCACAGTTGAATATTGTTAAATGAAATAAAAGCAATAAATCAAGTGGGTAACAAATGTTGTTAGGTAACATTTTATTTATTATTTCAACATGAATATATATTTAAGAATATTATACCAAGAAAATAACGTAATAGTATTAAAGTCAAGTTTTGCAAAAACATTGATTTTTTTTGAAAAAAGTTTTTTTCATACATTATAAAAAAGATTACAGGGGCTGCAGGTATGTATATTTATTTCATAGAAATTTCCTTTTATGTAATTAATTGTAGTTTTTTTTTTTAATCTTATAAAGCAAGTGTTTGGTACTGCAATCTCCAGGTGTCGAATCCCATTTTAATAAACTACTAAAAGAAAGCTTTCATATAATATCATTGACAAAAGAAAAAATAGATAAAGGAACGTTTATTGATAGCACTGCTTCCGAACATTGGAAAGTACTTGAATTAAATTTAACTGTAACAACTGTCATTTGAATTTAGTATGTACAAGAGGTCCGGCGCTACGTCTCCGATCCATTCGGTCCGTCATTTAAATCTTTTTACGTACACATTAGCTTTATAGACGGAGCTTTCTCCGGAGTTAGAAACGCCTGAGTGCACTTGTATTGAGGATGAAATATCTTAACTGCTACTCGGCGCCAGTCCGACAAAGAAAATCTAATTGTGTACAGTGGTGTACTTAAGAAACATATAAAAGGCTTCTGTGATCCAACGAGTACCGACATAGGCTTTTATTAACGTAACATACGAATTTTCGGTAGGCCATGACGGTTAATGTGAAAACAACTTTATAAAAAAAAACTAAAACTAAATAACAAGTAATGAAACAATATAATCATGGAAGCTTTTTTGATATAAAACCTTTTCACATACACATCCAAAAATATTGTATAAAATTCTGTAACCAACGAGTTGCAGACAGTATCAAAAAATTCTCAGATTCCTGATATTAAGCTTGATAAATAGGATTTGACGCTTTATGTGTATTATGTGATACAGGGGGTTCCCAAAAAAACGGTATCCTTATAAAAGGAAAATATTCTAAACAATAACCGCTTTTCATATCTCAATCCCCAAACAGCCATAATCTTGACAAATGACGGTCTTTCAAGTGTATTCGGCACTACGGGCTACATTGACAAAGCCGCAAATAAACTGACGCGACGATATAAAATAAGCATATTCTATATTTTATTGAGTTGAGGAAATGCGAAGGAAATAGTTTGCCGCATCATTACGCTACGCATCAATCAGAGATCGGCCTAGGAGTGTGTACAGAATGCAGAGTACTCAGATGACGCGGCGGTTGCTCATTACAATATAGCTATCTTAATATTTCCAATATCATCGTCGAATAATAAACACTATGAGATTATAGTTGGACAGCATGTAGCTATAAAATGTTTAAAACGAAATTTATTTTGTTATCGTAGAAACAAATTTTACACAAGTTGCTTCTTACGAAATATGCATTGCTGCAAAATACAAAACTGCTGCATCGTTTTTTTAGCCGAGGCACGCTCTGTCTTAAATAACGATTTCCTAGTACCATAAAACAGGGTTTTGGCATCGCGATCGGGCTCTAGATTCGCGTGGACGTAAACGGCGAAGGCGCTAGAGCTGGTAGTCGGTGCACGATATCTGCATTGTGGGACGGCGTCGCGGCGCGGCGGGTCTGGCGTCGCGGCGGCGGCGCATACATCAGGCACGCGACGAACAAGCGACCCCCCACCACCACCCTCACCCCCCACGGAGCTACACCCACAGCCTTAACAATTATTATCATAATGTCGCAGTTTTTAATGTTTCTCCGTTCCAATTTACTTATTGCGTACAGACTAGAAAACACATACAATACAGACATGGAAATGATTGATTTTATTATCAAAAGCAAATATAGTAACTAGGGTCTATAAACAAATAAGTGACGGAAAATAATAAGACTACTAGGTTAAATTTATCTTAAGAGGAAATGGTTTTAATATATTAAAAATGCAAATAATATTTGCAATCAATCAAAACAAATTATTGATGGTTTCGAGTTCACATAGCTATAGTAACAGTAAGGTTTATTAATTAAATCATATGTCAATACAATATTGAATGTTCTATGACTATTGAATATTAAATGCATAATTAATGACTTCACAGGCGAATTAAATACAATAATAATTAGTAAATGCATTCATTTCCGTCGGGAAAATCTACGACTCCTGCCATTCATAATGTGCTAAAGATGAGGAAGATATTTAAATAGATGATAATTATATACAAGATACTAAAATACAGGATAATAATTTATATTGTATTATATGTATTATAGGAATTAATAGTACTATCTGTATTGACATTTAAAAGTACATGCTATGAATTAAATGGTTTACCGAAGTATTAAAAACAATTATCTATGGAACAAGCTTCGGATTATGAAACTGAAGAAACATTTATATGTAGTTAATAATTATAAACACAATGACGACGTCCCAATGTTGGCGACCCCTGTGCCGGGCCGGCCGAGGCTCCAGGGCGGGCGTGGTATCGCGGGACCAGTCACTGCGATCAAATTGCGAATTGCATCACCACGGTCCCATTATCCTATGCAAATCCGGCTTTCCCAAATATCGTGTACTGCCGCGGGCTACCTGCTATCGCGATCATTAATAACCCGCCCTGTTACAAATACGAGCCTCGGAGCTGAGCCGTTTAGTCCCCTCGCCGACGAAATAAACTAGCAATATGTTAACTTACTTTATTACGCTCGCTACGGCAACAGATAATATTGTACATTATGCAAAGTTGACTTGATAAAGAGCCCTATCACATTGCAAATTGGATATTTTTCTGAACGATACGTAGTGAATTTGTTACGTTGCATCATCTATCACTCAATACTGTTTTCACCGAGTTATGAATTGTTTTCGCTATCGAGAATATTAAAGAACCTCATGGATATAGGAGATCATTTAAAATCATATCGTAGCATCTCACTTCATGTACGGTATAATATGACAAATAAGAAAGTTTTGTAAAGGAAAAACAAAAAACATGTATATAGTTTTAATACGAAGCTGAAGAACAAAATTATAAGGGCTACTTTTATAATAATATTTAAATGGTTTTTTATTAATAATTTTTTGTTTTTTTTTAAACCGGGTTGGCGGTGTTAAAATAAGTTTGGATGTTGTTTACGGTCAAAGTTCCGGGTCAGGTCACACAGCGCTAGTAATCCCTTCGTTTAGGGGACATTTAGAAGGGGAATATTACGAGTGTAACTCGTCATATACTGCGATATAAGTAATGAAAACGAAGAAACGCAATTATCGTCTAGAGAGAAATGTTATTTCCCCTTGTTATAAGGGTGAGCACTTACCGTCCTAGTGAATTAGCAGCGGCCGAGGTCTCAGTGCGAAGGGACAAATGCGGTCAAGTATGACTTTGCAACTTTCGCGACTAATGTAAAACTTATATAGTCCGAGCATCGGGCGCTAATCAGAACAGTAAAAGTATTAACATCCCAAAGTCGCTTATACTTTGATAGAACAAACTGAACGCTCTGGGAATTTTTAAAACGTCTTAAGAGGAAAGTATAAAAGCAAGTAGTTGCTCTCACACCACACTTGCGAGTTTTTTGAAGAGCGTACTGGATAATTAGATTAGATTCCTCCGCAGTCGGAGTCTAGGAGAAAAACTGAGGTAAAAAGTTTTCCTATTACACATTAATGTAGACTATTACCAAGAAATTGTAGCGACTTTAAAATGAGCAAGGAAGTGATTAGTTAAAAGCAGGACGAGTCACAGAGACTATATTGAAATTTAATTAGTCTAATTGTATTAACGTGCCGCAGTTATAACGTTATTTAAATTAATTAGAACTAGGACTGTTGATAAAAGAATTTATATATATTATTAATTCCTCACCTGAATGTTTAATTCCAGAATACTGTTGTAGAAATGCCACACATTATATAATATAAGTCAAGTCGGTTCAAATAAGTGTCCGTACTGTTAACGGTTTGGTCTGGGAATGGTTCGAGGCAGCACTCACCTACGGTTACAATTTAATTAAATATGGCTTCAGATTAACGCGATGGGGCTTCACAAACAGTGTATAGTTTCATATGTGTTAGAAAAAATTATATACATTAAGATTTTTCTTTAATTTTTCATACAAATTTATTTTAAATTTTTGAATTACTTCGTATCATTGATTTGTTTCACTGCACGTACCTCGTTAAAAAACAAATATATTATAATTTGATAATTAAATTAACCAATTATAACAAGTATATGATTTTGAAAAAGAGATTGTTACAGTACTTGATGCTTGACTTATTTAGTAGGTAATAGGTTTCGCAGGCGCGGCTGCGGGGCACGTTGCTGTGGCGGAGGGGAGTGAAAGAGGAAGGAGGGAGGGGAGGGGGTCTACGTGGATGGTTGCGATTGTTTCCGATGATAAACATCGGCCGCCTACCCAGCTATCCAAGAGTCGGCGCTAATTAAACAACAACGGGGAAAATTAATTTGATTGTTTCGAAACTGCACCTCTTTGTTTTAGGCCTCTGAATGAGTTACCTTGGAAAAATATTTGACTGACGCCTCTTTAAAAGCTACTCTCCCGTTTATTTGAATTTCAACGAGTCACGATTATTTTTTTTGGTATAAAATAATAATACCACAGAAGCGAGCGTCGGCGATGACGAGCAAGAAAATACTGAGGAAAGTATCGTTTGACATCTGGACTGAAAGCTTCTAAGTGTAACCAGGTCGACGTCCGGTTGCTTCACTGAATACACACATATCGATAATATTATGTAAATTGTTCATCAATTTCGACTTGTATATATCGGTAAGTGAGGCGATATTAACAATGAAATACAGGATGCATTAATCTTAATATTTGTCGTCTGATACTTGACAGGAATCGCAATCAAGGGATTGTGAATAATGATTACATCATGACTTAGTTGGGACATTAATTAACGGGAAGTTTAAATTATTTGGCAACTCTCAATTGATATGTTTGCTTTTGTTATATTAAATTCATGTTAAATAAATTCGAGAGGGCACAATGTTATTACTATAACATTAGTTCTGAATATAAAACTAGGGATGAGGAAGGTCAATTAAGCATTTCCCCACATACCCTAAACGAATGGGTTGTAAAATTGAATCCGGAAAATTAATCGTGAATAGGCACGGGTCGCGGGCAAAAACTTAAATGTGTGCTCGGAAGGCTGTCGGTGCGAAAATGTGGAATTACATGCGGCATCCGATCCGGACCACTCGTTCCGGGATCCTGAATTATTTAAGCGACGCCGAGTGCGCTCATTACAGAGATGAATTGAAGCCAGGATTTGTTTACTTATTGAAAAGTTTTTTATATATATACGATTATTAAAATTGCGATCATACGCACAGTCATTATTTGGCATAGTTTTTTCAATGGGAATAAATAAATAATACGATATATTTTACATTAAATGAAGAAATGAATAACAAATCAAAATTCTGCAGCTGTGCCACAAAATGCGTTATATAAATAAAAAAAGATCGATAAAATTAATTAATTATTAATAATATCAATATTTCCCACTGCCGGACTGGTGATAATTTGTGATCGGAGTATAAATTTAGAACCAACATTAATACAAATGTCAATACATTATTATAATAATGATATAATAATTGCCAATGAAATTTTCACCTTGATTAAATCTCGTCACGCCGACGTATTTAATCTACGTGAAAGGGAATAAGGTATGTTAAGGGACGAGTGCTCAGTAGAAACGAATCATTAAAATAGAGTTTCATCTCATTGGGGTCTGACAAAAAACGGTACGCTGTCCTTTACGATTTTTGGTCTGCAATTAAACAAGAGAGCGCGTGGTCCTAGAGCGCTGAACGAGTAAACAGCAAAACAGCTATCTAATTACTTTGTGCCTCCGCGGCACCACTTGTCCCTACAATGTAACATCGCCGCTCAAAGTTACTTGTGGTTTTTGCAAACGGCACCGCTCCCCGTCAACTTTACCAAATCGAATTTTACGGAACTTGCTATTGTTATTTATTTTGCCAAAAATGTTTTGATTGTTTGTATTGGATTTAAGCGTCGAGGGTTAACAATATTTAATTAATGTTAGAGTTATGGACCCAAAAAGTTGTAAAGAGTGGATATTATTATTTGTATCACAAATCAAATTTACCTTTTGTTACTTGCATATTATAATTTCTATATGCTATGACCAAATAAAGTATATGTTGATTTTAGAAAATACATATATATAGAACGGTGATACGTTTTTAATATTAAAAAGAAAGGATTGCTCCGATGTTCTTTCTGGTCATTAGTTGGGAACGTGGGTGGGGTTAAATAAAATGGGAATCAAATTAAGTTCATTCAGTTGCGGCGGCCGGGTTGAGTTGATTCAGCACCGAGGCGGACACGTGCGCCCTCCCTAGCCTCGCTCCGAATAAGAATAAGAAATGAACCGATAAATTCTATACTCCTATTGCATCCCAAGCAATATATGTCTACGTATAATTTCTAGACTCGAGTAAATTGTTCTATGTAGTAGATGTCTGTCTTGTATAATGTCACTTAAAACAGAGAGGGTTGAAAGGGATGTTATACAGAGATCACTTTAATATTAACGCCTCTGAATCCTCGCCGGATACGACAAATGAATCTTGAATACGAAGTGATTATTTCACTCCAGCAATCACGACAACCACAGAGAATAAAAAAGGAACACTTT